TTTTATAAAAAATCAAATAATTTTTTTATAATTAAATTATTTATAATTTTACACTGAACTATATTTTTATTAATATAATAAATAAGTTTACTTAAGAAAATTTTTAAATTTTAATAAAATAATTTAAATTATAATATAGAATCTTTTTATCTTTAATGATATTGGTTGTTGAGCATTTTTGCAATAAAAACAATTGGTGTATTTATATTTTTCGTGATTCACATGACCAACTATTTAATCGATTGGCACTAATTGATTATACTGTATATGAAAACCTTGACAACTGCCCCAGAAATATTATTAGTATATATTGAAAATGAAAACCTTGACAATTGAACCGGAAGAACATGAATTTTGTGAACGAGGACTCAATCTCAGCAGATCGTAACACACAAAGGCTACTCTACTGCTTGCTTACACTGCCCCCATTCCATCAAGTCGTCTGCAAAATATTAATCCACGCCAATATTTGAAAATAAAATTTTGAGGAAGAAGATAGCGATTTCGCGCGAAGAGTACGACTAACACGCACACAGAGCGATTATCAGTACACTTCATTCGAAGTGTGAGACTATCAAGCATACATGGAGCGATTATTCAGTGGTACACTTCGCGAAAAGTGCGCCCATCTAGCACCTCAACGATATGATACAAGAGATGCGAAAGCAAATCTATAAAAGTGTGGGCAATTAAATCATTGCATGGATTTTGACTTAGATGAGTTCAGCCAATAATCCTTTCTCAGGTTCTGCTACGGGAAACCTAAATGACCAAGTGTAAAAAAACTTCACAGAAAAAGGCACCTTAAACAGCTCCTTAGACAGATCCGAGAGTCCAAACTCAGCCATTCAAATTGGCAGTTACGACGGGCGGTGTGTAAAAAGGGCAGTGACGTAATCGACGTAAGCCACTAACCAAGGGACTCCTCGTTAAAGAGTAATACTAATAAATTAACCCGCAGGCTCACCCAGTGAGTGTGCCCTTCCGTCAATTACTTTAAGTTTCAGCCTTGCGACCATACTTTAAACGACGAACAAGTCATTTCATTGTCCGATCCAAAGTCGGCATAGTTTATCGTTAGGACTACGACGGTATCTGATCGTCTTCGATCCCCTAACTTTCGTTCTTGATTAGTGAAAACATCCTTGGCAAA